AAAAAAAAACAATGAATGAGAAAGGCAGAGATGTGTTGGCATTCAAACGAGGGACTGTCTCTTCCAATTAGGAACATCTGTATGGCATTTACTCCAAAAGAGGGACAGATAAATCGGAATGCACCGAGCTTGCCCGCCATAAATGTAAAACTACTGAAGAAAGTCAGTACTCTTTTTGTCTGAGCCTCTTTATTGAACAACTGCAGGCGTAGAGCTTTTGTTTTGCTTGTGGAAGGGAGAGATAAGTAGCTGCACTGTACACAGGCTGTAGGAGTCACATTTCCAGAAGCACAGGGCTGGGACTGGGTGGCTGGAATCCAAGGGCGGAGTAAGAATATTTCCAGCAAGAAGAAACATGACAGGAAGAGAGAGACTGAGAGGCCAAGACAACACGAGGTATTGCTTGGGGGTCCAGCTGATTGCTGCAGTGCATAGGGCAGATTGTAGAGCTAACTTTCAGGGGACTGTAAAGCTGAATAGATAGAGAAGCACTGAAAATGAAAAGGTGCAACGTTCACATTACACTTCCAGTTCTATGTGTACTTTTTTAAATATACAGGATGCAGTTGATATGAAGTACAAGCTTTGTGTTAGATGCTGGGGGATGGGAGCTCCTGGGAATTGAAAATGGCCATGAGGTTTAAAACACAGCCCATTGTATTTCTCCAGGCAGACGCGTGAGAATGTGTTAATTCAGAGCATGCTTTAGTAGGGTTTGTTTACTAAAACGCAACCAACAAAAACTAGTGTTCTGTCGAAAACTCCAACTTCTCCAGATCTCCAACGACGCCAGCTGACTTGCCAGTAAGTGTTTTGGATGAGTTGTCTCGAGTGCGCGTGCGCCACCCTTGGCATTTTCCTAATTCTCATCAAGTTCGACAATGCTCTTCACTGCACCTGCACGGCTTCAGAAGCCTTATCAAGTTCTCAATTTCTGTTTGCGGGCAGACACTTGCCTGACTCTGGCGGCTATATTGAGTGGGACAACGATTAATAACACAACGATTAATAACAGATTAGTCTCATCTTAGTTGATTATAATACTGAAGAGCATTGTCGAACTTGATGAGAGGTAGGAACATGCTTCGGGTGGCGCACACACACTACCCAAACCACTTAATGGCAAGTCAACCGGACGTGACGTCATTGGAGATCTCGAGAAATTGGAGTTTTCGACAGAGAAATTTGAGTTTTCGACAAAGAAATTTGAGTTTTCGACAGAACACTGGCCATAAAAGCTCATAATTTTTCCTTATTCAGCCCCATGGGCTGAACAAGAAGAATCCATCGATTTTCCCCCATCCACACTAAAAGCTTTTCCGAATCATGTCCAGACCAGAACAGTTTGTTCCTGGACCAAAAAAGCATTCCAATGTATCCCTATGGTTTATTGTTTACACCAGACAGTCCGGTCCGGTCCAGACAAAAAAATACTGCTCGTCTTATTTTCTCTGGTCTGGAATGCACTGGAACGCATGGAAATGCATAAAAAACACACAGACAAATGCATGCAAACTCACTGGACTGCACCTGTAAGTCAGTTTTATGACTTGTTCACACCATAACTGCATCAGAACAAGGTGTGTTTGTGCAGCTGCAGTGCAATGTGGACACGTTTGTTATGCATTTTTGATGCATTAAGGTGCATTTTTTTACCTCAAAATTCAAATTAGACTATTATGTCCCTTCCTTCTTCCTGTCAGTGCACTTCCTTCGTTGTTTGGGGTCAAGTTGTAGCTCAGGCATGATTCCTATGTTTGCAGATATGGTGTTAGGCCTGGATCACACTGACGGGTCTATTCACTAAGCTGCCGAGGGCAGCCGAGTGAACAACCGACCCCAAGTGAAGTGAGCCGAACACTGTTAGGCTATTCACTTCAGGCTTGTAGGGCTGATTTCAGCCATATATCGGCTGAAATCAGCCATACATCGGCTTGCTTCGCATGGGTTCGGGTCGGCCGAACATGACCCGGCTGACCCGAAGTGCAGAAGTAGTTCGACTCAGCCGATCCAACATCTGGATCGGCTGAGCCGAAACTCCGGCAGGCTACTCACTGCTGTTCGGCCTACTCTTATAAATGCCGAACAGCAGTGAGTGAATAGCCGAATGCCGCTGAGCGGCATTCGGCTCAGCTGTTCTGCTTGGTCCCTCAGAGGGACCGAGCAGAACAGAAAAATAGTTTAAAAAGTTTTAAAAAAGTAAATAGAAAATGATTGTGTGGAGCTTGCAATGACAGCTAGCTCCGCCCAACAGTTTTCTAATGTCCGGCGGGTTCTGCTGCCGTAAAAAAAAAAAGAAAAAAGCCTTCCGCTCCCTGCCGCCCAGGAGAGAAACACTGATTTATCTTTTTTTTTCCTTTATTCTGACACGGAGCTGTGTCAGAATAGAAAAAAAAAACGTTTTTGCACCTTGGAATGCATTGCTAGATTCCTATTGGCTATTTCAATTTGCAAATCCTTCGGCAGCTTCGTGAATAAACCCCTGAGTCTTTCGTAACGCTTTTTCTGCTCTAAAAACGCTCCAAAAAATGCACACAAAAAAATCATTAATTTCTATGGCCCTGTTCCTATCTGAGCAACTTTTAGCAATTACCAAAACGCCTGTTGCTGGAAAAAGTAGCATATTCCAGCTCGTTTTGACCCCATAGACTCAATAGGAAATGCCTGAAAGCGAGCGTTTGTTGTGTTTTTGCGCATTTAACGTGTGTCTGCCCGCCCATTAATATCGATGAGCTAGAATCTGCTCACAAAAATGTGTGACTTGATTTATGAAAACATGCGTAGAAAAACAAAACAAAGTTCAACAGAACAAACTGAAAAGAGAAGCAAGTTGCCATGCACAGCTGCTCCAGATTTAGTCTGCTCCAGTTTTGATAAATTTCCCACTGTATGTCTTCTCTAGATTCGTCCATATGCACATATGGTCAAGCCTTTTAAGTATCAGGCAACCTATCATATTAATGAAATGGTCATATGTTTTAGTCTTTTGGTGTTTTACCCCTGGTTGTCCCAGTTTAAAAGACACACAGGTCATGGAAGGGACATTGCCTATGATATTTGGAAATGAGTGTGGTTTTGGTGGGCCAGAAGGGAGATTTTACCTTCCGACGTTTTGAGCTATAGGGCACTTTAAAGGTTGACCAAAAAAGGGTTCTCCTAGCAAGGGAACTCTGACTGCAATACTCACAACATTTTCTATGGTGTGGTGCTTTCCCCTAGTTGCTATTACTTTTTGGCACTAGATTTCTTCAGTGAACATGCTTTCAGTGCAGAGTTTAATGGACCAGCCTCTGAGAGGTTGTCATTGGCACCCTACACTCACATACGGTAGTGTAAAGATGGGTTCTTACAACCTCATGTCAGTGAGGCTCTCTACATCAATGAGCGCCCCCCAACACCAAAGAAGAAGCAAAGAGTTAGAAGACCCTGCTCATCACATGACTAGCCTAAAAATATATGGAAAGGTCAAGTATAAAAAAATTGCAAAATATACAGCTAGGGGGAGCCAGGGCCGGATTTCTATTTCGGACGCCTGTAGCCATGAATGGAAATCTGTTTAGCCTGAGCTGGCGCCCATACCTGCTGCAGGACCAGCTGGTTTTCACATTTGCAGAGAAGGACCCTGGCGTCATGTAAGGGTACCCAGAAAACAGCAAGTCCCCCTGCACTCCTTACAGCACTTCCGGTCCAAGTAGCAATAGTGGTGCTCGCAGTGACAATCACGGATGGCGCAGTGCACAACAGTCAATGAAGGATAGAAATCACCAGCACTCAGCAAATGAAATTCAAAAAATGTTCATTTATTTGGACTAAACGTCACACATATCGCATAATCCAATCCAATGTTTCGGGCCCATGCAGGGTCCCTTCATCAGGGCAGAGATGTGACCTACAGGGCAGATGTGGTCACATCTCTGCCCTGATGAAGGGACCCTGCGTGGTCCTGAAACGTTGGATTGGATTATGCGATATGTGTGACGTTTAGTCCAAATAAATTGACATTTTTTGAATTTCATTTGCTGAGTGCTGGTGACTTCTATCCTTCATGTAAGGCTACCATACACACCTATCTACATCAGATAGGCATTTTACAAGGCAGCCTTATGCAGCGCCGGGGTCCTTCTCCTGCGTTTGCAGAAGCCGGCGGTTCCTAAAGGCGCTGCTAGTCTTGGAACAGGAGGGTGCATTTCTTGCAGAATGCTCCCTCCTTGCTTTTGCAGGTGTTGTATCTTGACACAACACTGGGAATTAAGCAGAGTAGGTACCTGCACTGTGCCCCTCTATGGAGGGCGCCTGTGGGCACGTGACTACTCTGCCTAATGGTGAATCTGGCCCCAGGGGAGCCCAGAGTAGGACTTTAAAGTACAACTTTACTGAGAATATGAAAGCTCTATTCAGCAGACCTAGCATCAGATATATTTGATCATGCTATATGCATGCATTCTGAGTTATATGCAAGTGCAACACTTGTATAGCTTCTGAAAAAGAATGCAGTGCTCCTGCACTCAATGCCTTCCTCTCCAGTTTTTTTTCAAAACGACAACACCATCTTTGTTCAGGCATCAGCCAGGGTTATCATTTACTTCCAGATATCGCAAAAATCCTGGTGCCTAGACAATTGTCTTTATGTTCAGAGCTGCGGGTAGACATGTATCATATGTAAATCAGCCCTTTGATGTGGCTTCTCAACATGCTACAACTAGTGTTACAGTCTGATTGACCACTGGGTAGACTGAGTAAATTCCTCATCCAGCTTGCAGCAGATTGATTTCTGTACTGCGCGGGTCAGTGACTCATTAAATTATTTGGATCAAATCCTCTTTTAGCTCTACAGTGTTATACTCAAGTAAATTAATTATACCGGACATTTATATTATGTGGATTCAGTGATGTGCTAGTGGAATATCCCTTTAAATTACAAAAATGCTAATACTGTTTCTGTTTTTCCCTTTTCAGGGCCGTTGATTTTGATTAAATAAGTCTCCATGTGGGCTACTGTAGCTAAACATTTATTACGGAGCAAAGTCCGTCTGTGTTCATTAAATGTTCAAAGGAACAAAAAATTTCCTTGCAGCTTCCTGGTGCAAATTTCTCGAGGACAACACAGTGCTCCTGTCTATGACCAGACTGCTCACACTGAGACCATGATCCAGCACATTGAGGTATTGGATTCTGAACGCCTTGTCTGCGTACACTGGAAGGATGCAGGGCAAAGTCTATACCCGTATGTATGGCTGAGAGACAACTGCCAGTGTCCTAAATGCTTCCTGCGGTCTGCCAAAGCCAGAAAACTTCCCATTGAGGATCTGGATGTAAACACTGGACTGGATAAAGTGAATCTCTACAACGGAAAGAAGGTACACAGATCAATGCTTTCAGGAGGGTCTAATGAACTTGTTTTCCTTATACCTCTAATACAAGAAAATTAAAGTATATCTAAAGCCAAAGCTTTTTTTTTATTTTGGATTGAGTATAAAATGTTGAAAACCCCTGTCACTTCCTGTCCTCTAGACAAAACAGGAAATGAGATGAAATCTCTTAAAGAAGAATGTCAGGAAAACATTCTAACACTTACAATGGGGATACTCCAGCACCGCAAGGGTTAAGTGCTCCTATTTGTCCAGGTTCAAAAATAACAGCCATACTCACCTGAAGTTCCAAGCTGGCCGACTGTCACAGGGCTCCCTCCAGCCTCTCCCCTTCTACACTGTAGCATTGGAATGTTCCTCAGTGACCTCATGTCTATACACCGTGTATAGAACAAGATGATTTATGGGACCTTAGACTGCTGCAGAGGAGGGGGAGAGAGGCTGGAAGAACTGGTCTAAGAACAAGTCAGCTCCACATTTCAGGTGAGTATAACTTTTATTTTTAAACCTAGCCAAAAAGGAGCAGCTTAACCCTTGCAGGGCTGGAGTCATTCCACTGCAAGGGTTAATAAAAAATGTTCTTGGAGTTCGGTGTCCTGTTTTCTGATTCACAATACAAATTTTAAACTTTCTCCAACATTCGGTCCAGCAAGACAAATAGGTAAATGCTCCACAATCCAATGTTTCGGGCCCATGCAGGGTCCCTTCATCAGGGCAGAGATGTGACCTACAGGGCAGATGTGGTCACATCTCTGCCCTGATGAAGGGACCCTGCGTGGTCCTGAAACGTTGGATTGGATTATGCGATATGTGTGACGTTTAGTCCAAATAAATTGACATTTTTTGAATTTCATTTGCTGAGTGCTGGTGACTTCTATCCTTCATGTAAGGCTACCATACACACCTATCTACATCAGATAGGCATTTTACAAGGCAGCCTTATGCAGCGCCGGGGTCCTTCTCCTGCGTTTGCAGAAGCCGGCGGTTCCTAAAGGCGCTGCTAGTCTTGGAACAGGAGGGTGCATTTCTTGCAGAATGCTCCCTCCTTGCTTTTGCAGGTGTTGTATCTTGACACAACACTGGGAATTAAGCAGAGTAGGTACCTGCACTGTGCCCCTCTATGGAGGGCGCCTGTGGGCACGTGACTACTCTGCCTAATGGTGAATCTGGCCCCAGGGGAGCCCAGAGTAGGACTTTAAAGTACAACTTTACTGAGAATATGAAAGCTCTATTCAGCAGACCTAGCATCAGATATATTTGATCATGCTATATGCATGCATTCTGAGTTATATGCAAGTGCAACACTTGTATAGCTTCTGAAAAAGAATGCAGTGCTCCTGCACTCAATGCCTTCCTCTCCAGTTTTTTTTCAAAACGACAACACCATCTTTGTTCAGGCATCAGCCAGGGTTATCATTTACTTCCAGATATCGCAAAAATCCTGGTGCCTAGACAATTGTCTTTATGTTCAGAGCTGCGGGTAGACATGTATCATATGTAAATCAGCCCTTTGATGTGGCTTCTCAACATGCTACAACTAGTGTTACAGTCTGATTGACCACTGGGTAGACTGAGTAAATTCCTCATCCAGCTTGCAGCAGATTGATTTCTGTACTGCGCGGGTCAGTGACTCATTAAATTATTTGGATCAAATCCTCTTTTAGCTCTACAGTGTTATACTCAAGTAAATTAATTATACCGGACATTTATATTATGTGGATTCAGTGATGTGCTAGTGGAATATCCCTTTAAATTACAAAAATGCTAATACTGTTTCTGTTTTTCCCTTTTCAGGGCCGTTGATTTTGATTAAATAAGTCTCCATGTGGGCTACTGTAGCTAAACATTTATTACGGAGCAAAGTCCGTCTGTGTTCATTAAATGTTCAAAGGAACAAAAAATTTCCTTGCAGCTTCCTGGTGCAAATTTCTCGAGGACAACACAGTGCTCCTGTCTATGACCAGACTGCTCACACTGAGACCATGATCCAGCACATTGAGGTATTGGATTCTGAACGCCTTGTCTGCGTACACTGGAAGGATGCAGGGCAAAGTCTATACCCGTATGTATGGCTGAGAGACAACTGCCAGTGTCCTAAATGCTTCCTGCGGTCTGCCAAAGCCAGAAAACTTCCCATTGAGGATCTGGATGTAAACACTGGACTGGATAAAGTGAATCTCTACAACGGAAAGAAGGTACACAGATCAATGCTTTCAGGAGGGTCTAATGAACTTGTTTTCCTTATACCTCTAATACAAGAAAATTAAAGTATATCTAAAGCCAAAGCTTTTTTTTTATTTTGGATTGAGTATAAAATGTTGAAAACCCCTGTCACTTCCTGTCCTCTAGACAAAACAGGAAATGAGATGAAATCTCTTAAAGAAGAATGTCAGGAAAACATTCTAACACTTACAATGGGGATACTCCAGCACCGCAAGGGTTAAGTGCTCCTATTTGTCCAGGTTCAAAAATAACAGCCATACTCACCTGAAGTTCCAAGCTGGCCGACTGTCACAGGGCTCCCTCCAGCCTCTCCCCTTCTACACTGTAGCATTGGAATGTTCCTCAGTGACCTCATGTCTATACACCGTGTATAGAACAAGATGATTTATGGGACCTTAGACTGCTGCAGAGGAGGGGGAGAGAGGCTGGAAGAACTGGTCTAAGAACAAGTCAGCTCCACATTTCAGGTGAGTATAACTTTTATTTTTAAACCTAGCCAAAAAGGAGCAGCTTAACCCTTGCAGGGCTGGAGTCATTCCACTGCAAGGGTTAATAAAAAATGTTCTTGGAGTTCGGTGTCCTGTTTTCTGATTCACAATACAAATTTTAAACTTTCTCCAACATTCGGTCCAGCAAGACAAATAGGTAAATGCTCCTAACAAAGACAGAGACAGCAGTAAAACCTAATAGAGGTTCTAACCACTTAACACTCCAAAATGAAGACAAAGGTTTTGGCTGTAGATATATTTTAAGACCTGGATTATTTATAAATGCCTGACAGGGGTTTTGACCATCCTTACCATGGCTATAGATTCGATTTAATTGTTTTCAAAATGCATTTTTTACTCAAGTGGACGAAATGTAAAACACAAGTAAAATAGTTCAGAAAGGTGAAAAACAATGGGTGGAATTCATGAAAACTGAAGCAGTTTCCTTATAGCAACCAATCAGCAGCTCTCCTCAGTTTGTTCAGTTAAGCTTTGAAAATTAAAGAGACAAGCTGATTGGTTGCCATGCACAACTACTCCAGATTGTCTGCTCCAGTTTTTATGAACTCCCCTCATTGTGCATAGCGCAGTTATCAATAATGTCCAGCAAGCAGTTACCTTCTGTTTTCTAAAAGAAAAAATTAAGTACGATGGGAAGTGTAGGAGGGGTAACACATCCTAGTTCAATAGATAATTTGTAAAATACACAATAATGGACTTTTAAGGTACCCACAAACTCAGCTTGATTAAGATATAACCAAATTTTCATTTACCGTATACAGGGCCATCTTTAATATTGATTGGACCCTGGGCAAACAATTTCTTGGGCCCCCTCCTCCCCTCCCGGCACTAACAGCAGCATACGGAAGAGGTGGGGCAACACTATGTGATGCTGATCGCATAGTAAACAGAATGGTGCTGCAAGGGTTGCTGCCTTTTCTTCAAGCGAATCCCGAACAGTCTAACACCACACTGCAACTTTTTTTAGAATAAACAAGAGAGAACGAGGAGAGAGAGGGAGGAGAGACAGGCAGGGGACAGAGCGAGGAGAGACAGCCAGGGGAGAGAGGAGAGACAGCCAGGAGAGAGAGAAGAGAGAGTGAGGCGAGACAGCCAGGAGAGAGACAGTTAGAATAGAGAGAGGAGAGACAGCCAGGAGAGAGAGAAAAGAGACAGCAAGGATAAAGAGAGAAGAGACAGCCAGGAGAGAGACAGTTAGAATAGAGAGAGGAGAGACAGCCAGGAGAGAGACAGTTAGAATAGAGAGAGGAGAGACAGCCAGGAGAGAGACAGTTAGAATAGAGAGAGGAGAGACAGCCAGGAGAGAGAGCAGGGAGAGGCAGCCAGGAAAGAGAGCAAGAAGAGACAGCCAGGGGAGACGGCGAGGAGAGACAGCCAGAGAGAGCAAGGAGAGACAGCCACGAGAGAAAGCGAGAAGAGACAGCCAAGGGAGAGAGCAAAGACAGACAGCCAGGAGAAAGATTGAGGAAAGACAGCCAGGAGAGAGAGCAAGGAGAGACAGCTGGGAGAGAGAGAAAGAGAGGAGAGGCAGCCAAGAGAGAGAGCTAGGGGAGAGAGCAAAGAGAGACAGTTAGGAGAGAGAGCTAGGAGAGACAGACAAGAGAGAAAGAGGAGAGGAGAGAGAGGCAGGAGAGACAGCCAGGGGATAGAGTGAGAGACAGCCAGGAGAAAGAACAAGGACAGACAGCCAGGAGAGAGACAGGATATTCAATATCCTGGTGGGAAGCTGTGCGGAGTCTCTGGAGGACTATACGGGATCTCAGGAGGGCTGTGTACGGGGGTCTCAGGCGGGCTGTGCAGGTATCAGTGCAGTAGCATCCATAGTGAATTATAAACGTGCAATGCATTTTATAGACCAACTACACATGCAATCTAATAATAATCTACATGTGATATAAATATATAAGTATGCAGAATAACCCTATGGTGAATAAATACAATATATAGTGGAAAAATACCTAATCATGTATTCACCATAGGGTGATTCTGCGCATTTATATATTTCTGTATTTATTTCACATGTAGATTATCATTAAAGAGACATTGAAGTAAAAAGTTTTTTTCCCTCCCCCCAGGGTAATGTTAGCACTTACCTTAAATGATGTCTCTTATTCCGATCTTCTTCTTTCCTGATGTTTTCATCTGTCCCTCCAGCGGTGCGGCAGCTCTCCGATCCAGCGCTGACTCCTCTCTGCTTGCAGGCACTTCCAAACCAGTGGGGTCTGCATGCGGGTACACGCGTCCATAGACTTACCTTGCTTCCCTTTTCGTCTCCCGGCCGATAATCCGAACTGTGCATGCGTCCGCCCCAAGATCCTTTGCTTTTGCGGCCGCACGAGCAGTTCCTGATTCTCGACGCGTGAGCGCGCACCGCTGTTAAAGCGTGTTTTTTTAAATTTTACTTTTTGTCTATATCTACTTGCTAGAACCCCTTTAAATTACATATGTAGTTGGTCTCTATAGCGCAGTGCACATTTATAATTCACTTTTTTTAGGTGTTATATACAGTTTTTTAGCATGGCAGCTTAGGGGTTTGTTGTTCCACAGCACAGATCCTGTTTGTAATATTATCGATAGGTGCATCCCTAGTATTGAGAGTACAGGAAGCTTTGCTGCAGCCATACATAGAACTTGATAATTACATTCTCTTTAAAAACTCTAAATCCTGCTTCAGCAGCATAGATTGAACTAGAGAAGCAATGTCAGCAACCTGCTCTGCATATGTATGTGTTGCACACAGTATATGTAGCATACATATACTGTGGCATATTTGGGCACTTACTTGGTGTGAAGGTCCAGAGAGGGGAGGCAGGAGGGGACACCGTAGGGGTGACATCTCAGTGCACGGTGTGTGCTCCCAGCAGGGCCCCAGACAACACAGGAGATCAGAGAACGGACCCTGACCGTATACAAAATCAATTTGAAAAGCAAAAAACCATCTTAAAATTAATGTTAATCACATTTATTTTATCAATAATGTCACTTGTTATGGGTGTACGGAGGGGTTTCGCTCAACACAATTTACGGACAGTGCCGCTTTAAGAGGAAATTGAGGCAGAGCTGAAATGTATAAAACATACAAAACATTATTCTACCTTATTAAATATGTACAAAACAATCTCATATAATGTATTTACATTTTGCTTTGATATAGGGACCCATCCACCTAGAGGCATCGCATATTTTGTATTTTACACATTTTCTAAGAGAGTGTACACTGCTATTATCCTAGTATAACAGTGAATAAAATATATTCTCTATATACACAATGGGCAAAAAACAAAGATCATTAATAATTAGTACATCAATCTCTACCATACTGGATAAAATGTGCCCCTGTGTGTAGTATCAGAATATACAAAAAATGTGCATGGGCGCTCTATTATTATTATTACATAGGATTTATATAGTGCCAACAGTTTGTGCAGCGCTTTACAATGTAAGGATGACATTACAATCACAATACAATTCAAGACAAGATGGTAAGGAGGGCCCTGCCCCTGAGGGCTTACAATCTAAAAGGGAGGGAGAAGTGATACATGAGGAGGTAGCTGTTTGGGGATGAATTGTTTGAGAAAGTGTTGGTTCAGTGGTTCGGTTGAGGTGGGATAGGCTTCCCTGATCCCCTCTATCAGATGTGTTGCAGTGTTTGGCTCTGCACTGTGTGTTTTTTGGACATTATTAGGATAATAGCACTGCACTCGTGTTTTCTGACTGCTTTAAACATGTTAACCTAAACTGATGAAAAATGAAATAGGTTGCTTTCAGCTTACTAGTCCCTAGTTGTTGTGGCTGCATTCGTTTTTTTGGGGGGTGTTTTTTTCAGGCCAAGTACTTTTTTGCAAGCACAGAAAAGGTGAGTTGATCCTGCCAGAAATCTTGGGTATATGTAACTTTCTGTGTACTGAAGTGGAAGCTCAAACAATGTTATCAGCTTACCTAGCTATTCTATGGAGATGAGCAGAAGATGGGGTGTTTGTATACCAAATCAAGAAAGCAGCTTAGGGTGATAGCTCTGTTCCTTTATAGTGAGTGAGCATTGTCAACCTAGGACAGGAAGTATGTTGCTGGCAGGATCATCAGGTGAAATTAAAGCGGAAAATAGACTGAAAAAAACCCCAAATGCAGCCGCCACATCACTTTAACCAGTTGAAGTGCGCGGTGTTACACCCCCTTCCCATCCAGGCCATTTTTCAGTATTCAGCGCTGCGGTACTTTGACTGACATTTATTCCGTCATGCAACGCTGTACTGAAATGAATTTGATACCATTTTTTGGGGACAGATAGAGCTTTCCTTTGGTGGTATTTATTCACCACTGCAGTTTTAATTTTTTACTATATTAAGGAAAAAATGTCCCTTTGTTTTTTTTGCAACGGGTGGACGGCAACTGGTTACAGTAGAACTATGAGCTGCAGTGTCTGGGAGGGGGAGGATGTGAGACACAAATGAGGATTTGGTTCAGTCAGGGACGTAAAGAAAGTTTTTTAGTTTACATTATGAAGCGTGTGCATTACATAGTAACCGGGATATAAAGATCAACTCCACTTTTCTATCCATGTTTTATGATGCATGCATATCCAGAGTGTGACATGAAACATTGATCACAGTTGCAATGCTTTGCAGACTCAAATGCAAAAATGGTAAACACGCAACCTAAAGTCGGGGGACTTTGAAAGTGCTATTTTGCTGAAGAAAGAAAACTGTACTTTGTGTTTGAAACCCCTGCGAGGGTAAACCTGTGTGGACTTTTGAGTTGGATTCAAAAAAAGTGGGCAAGGAAGCCCTTAAAAGAAGTCATAAGCGAGTGGATGCGTCCTTAGTGCGCTACCATTGGAAGCTAAATCTCACAGTGTACATTGATTAATGTTTTGTAAAAGCTTGATTATGCCTTTAAATGACCAGGCAGTCAGTGTAGAAATTGACCATCTTGTGTGTCTTGAAGTTTTAACACACATTACACAGGCATGGTCTACTGTTGACACCATCAGGAAACCTACGGTACCATGAGAAATTTCATGCAGCCATTTCTCATGTATATAGACAGGTAGCAGTTAATAATGGGCAGCAGGAGATTAGCAGCACAGAGATTAAAAGGATAAAAAAAGGTAAAAACAATTATTTCTATCCAAGGAGAGAAACACTGCTTTTTGTTTTTTTTTCTTGGTCTGACACGGAGCCGTGTTAGAATAGAAAAAAAAAAAAAAAACAATTTTGGCCATAGGAATGCATTGCTAGATTCCTATTGGCTATATCAATCAGACAAAACATAAATATAGCTGCTTGGAAAATGATTGGATTTTATTGGTCTGTTGCACTTGCCGGGTATGTGGACGTTATATACATGGAAAACAATATGGGTACCATTTAAATGAGAAGGCCGTTCAATGGTGGTGGTGGGGGGGGGGACTAATGTGATAATGTTATTCAATGTTGTGTTTTTCTACTTATGTGCCATCCTATGTCGCAAACAGAGTAAGCTCCTCAATTGATTGCATGCTTGTAACAGCTTTACATAAACTGAAGCCCCAGTTCACACCTTCGCGCTCACTTTGACATGTGTTCACACAATGCGTTGAAAACGTGCACTGCACCTGCAGTGCCATTACTTGTTAATGGCACCCCAAACATGGCCAGTAAAATTCACTTTTTTCACTTTTTTTCACCGTGCATCAAACTCCCACAGACGCATAGGAAAGAATATGAGCTGCTTTGCCACCATTGTTTTGCCAGGTAGCACAGCCATCCTAATTACCTAAATCTTCTCTACTGCAGTTATAACAATACACTCTGGTCACTTCTTTTCCTCCAACCAGTGATTAGACAGGAGAAGCATGAGAATGTTGAGGTCATCCCTCTACTCCTTCTATTAGCATGTAGACATGTAAGCTGCAGAAAAATTTGGTTCAGATATTTTATTTCGGGATTCGGTCTGAAATTCAATTTAGTTCAGGTTACTGATACGTCCCAAATCCAATTTGTTTTTAGTTTCGGATGAGTTTACAAATATTCGTTGCGGATACCACAGAAAACCATATACAGATATTAATACTAAAGCTGAAGCTCCTAGACCCGAATGGCATTCGGGAGTCTGAATTTCCGAATACCATTCGGGAGCTTCAGAAAGCAATACGGGTCTGGGAGCCATATTAAAAGCTGAGGCTTCCAGACCCAAATGGCATTCGGAGGCTCACAAATGCAATTCAGAAATTCGGATCCCGAATGCTATTTGGGTCTAGGAGCCTCAGCTTATGTATATACTGTATATGGCTCCCATGTTGCCGTAACGAAAATTCATTTTCAGACCTATTCAGATGCATTAAACTGAAAAACACATCTGATTAGCCAGAAAAGTCACATGTTCAATTTAGTTTAGTTTTTGAATAAAATTCAGACGAGATCCGAAATTTGGAAATTCGGATTCGGACACATTCGGTTGCATTGGGTACGAAACGAATCGCCCATATCTATTAGCATGTTCCTTGTAAGCATATCTTATACTGTACACTTTATTGGCCCCCTACTACCACCCCTTCCTCTCCCAGTCTAAATTTTACTGTACAAGGCTTAAGAGGCTACCACTAAATCAGATAAAATAAATAAAGTAGCTGCATTTAATAATGTAAGAATTTCTAAAGAATACATAACCACATTATTTTGTGTTTTAGTATCTGCCTAAAGTTCAGATTTAAAATAATTCTACGTATGCCTTTCACAACCCCCCAGGGACTAATGGCTGCCTTGAACCTTAACAAAGACTAACAGCCATCTGTTTTTGTTTTTTTTCTTACAGAAATCACACATTAATGTATCTGTTCTTTTTAAATACATTTATGTGCCCACACATTTGTAGGCCCACAGTTGTTTTTACATGCATGTCCTTTATTTTTTTTAATTTTCATTAAAAGGGCATTTTTTGTTAGCATGTTTTTGTTAGCATTTTTTATTTTATTTATGTCAAACTGCGAAATCTGTATTTTAGAACATTTATTTTCTGTTTTTGCCTATAATAGTGTTCCTTTTGAGAAGACTGCATTTTAATAATCTCGTTTTTTTTTCTTTCCTTTACAGGTAATCATTACTTGGCCAGATGAGCACCAGAGTGAGTTCGATGCCGAATGGCTGAAGAAGCGGTGTTTTTCAAAAGAAGCACGAGCAGAAATGCAAGAGGAGCTGTTTTTGCCAGGTATGTAAAAGTAAATGGATTAGAAGCAAATGCGGCAACTGAGATATGGACAAGCCAAGACACAACATTTAGGGGTCTATCCACGAAGCAGCTGAAGGATCTAGCCGTAGCGTTGGCCGATTCTTTGGCTAGCTTCGGCCCCAGGACCCCTTCGGTTCAGTAGAACCGAAGGGCTGCTGTACGGGCTATTCACTATAGCCCGTACAGCTCCCTAACTTGGCCGAGCGGCTCAGTCGAGCCGAACGCATATGCCTCGGCTCAACTGAGCTGAAAGCCGAAGCTGGCCGCGTGGCCGGCCAATGGCAGCGTGCTTCTGACAGCTGGGCAGAGCCAGCCGTGAACTTACGGCTGGCTCCGGCCACTTGCAGAGAGATCAGCGTCCCAGGTTACCAGCTAACCTGGGACACTGATCTCCAGGCAGCCTAACTCTCCTTGGCACTCCGGGAGTCTCCCGCTCCCGGCCGACAAGGAGCGAAACACTGCTTTTTGTTTTTTTTTCTTGGTCTGACACGGAGCCGTGTCAGAATCGAAAAAAACCCCCAAAAAAACAATTTTGGCCAAAGGAATGCTAGATTTTGGCTATATCAATTTGCAATAGCCAACAGCAAACTAGCACCCGCCCTCTGCTGCAGTTCTCCATCAGGTCCACCATCAGGATTGACAGCAGCAGAGGGCGGGTACAATGCTAGTTTGCTATTGGCTATTGCAAATTGAAATAGCCAATAGGAATCTAGCAATGCATTCCTATGGCCAACATTGTTTTATTTTTTTTCGATTCTGACACGGCTCTGTGTCAGAATAAGAAAAAAAACAAAAAGCAGTGTTTCTCTCTTTGGCGGCCGGGAGCGGGAGAATCCTGGAGTGCCTGGGAGAGTTAGGCTTTTTTTTGCTTTTTTTTGACGGCAGCAGAACCGTCGGCCAATAGAAAACTGCTGGGCGGAGATAGCAGTCATTGCTAGCTCCGCACAATCGTTTTCTATTTTGATTTTTCTACTTTTTTAACTGTTTTTCTGTTCTGCTCTGTACCACAGACAGACCGAGCAGAACAGCTGAGCTGAATGCCGCTCGGCGGCATTCGGCTATTCACTCACTGTTGTTCGGCATCTATGAGAATAGACCGAACAGCAGCGAGTAGCCTGCCGGAGGTTCGGCTTAGCCGATCCAGATGTTGGATCGGCTGAGTCGAACTCCTTCTGCACTTCGAGTCGGCCGAACATGCTAAGCATGTTCGGCCAACCCGAAGCCACGCGAAGCCACCCGATGTACGGCTGATTTCAGCCGATATACGGCTGAAATCAGCCGTACCCGCCTGAAGTGAATAGCCGAACAGTGTCACTTCGCTTTAGGTCGGTCCTTCGCTCGGCTGCCTATGGCAGCTTAGTGAATAGACCCCTTAGTAACTTATTGCATATGGAATATTTCTCAACTTAAGAATGAGACAGAGGAATACTTTAGCATGGTGGCAATATGCAGTTAAAAAGGCTGAGCCTACTTACAGTATACACCGCAAACATATGCCACAATTATTGTACCCAGAATACACTCCTTAAAGAAGGCTAAGTATTAGGTGAGTATAACTTAATTTTCCTCCCCAGACAAAAGCAAATATTTCAAGGGTTAATAAAAGTTTTGCCTGATGTTCTTCTTTAAATTAATGTATCACACGTGAGTGTCTTACAGGCACACCGGAAGACAAAGGTTCATTTTCTAAATTGATTTTCAAAGTTAACTTTAAAATTAAACTCTTCCATTACATATTACATATGTTCCTCCCCAGTGGGGATCTGAGCTCCCTTCCTATTACTCATTACTGGTAGTGATGATGAGCTCAATGTTCAAGCAGAACTTGAGTTCGACTCAAACATTGGCAGTTTGTGTGTTTGGCGAGCACACAAACTGTCAGGGCGTTCGGCGGGCTGTTCGCCCACCCTGCAAGGCACTGTGCCCTGTGAGCCCTGATTGGCTAAGGCCTTGCACCTGAACACAAGACTTTGCCCAATCAGGGCATAGAGAACTGAGAGCCATGATTGGGTAAAGTCATGAGGACTTTGCCCAATCATGGCTCACCTGTTACAACTGTAAACAGTCACTGCTAGCTCTGCCCAATTGTTTACAAGTTGCCTCCATCTGTGAAAATGCCATTCTGCGGCGGGTGTTCGTCGCAGTGGCAGATTTTTTAAAATTATTATTTCTATTTATTTATTTTTTATTTTATTTTTTATTTCGTCGAGTTGTCGTCGTGGTGGACAATGCTGGACATTGTGATTGACGCTGCATTATGTCGATGGATCATTTTTTAAATAAAGGACGTGTCAAAAATCATTTGATTTTTTTCAAATAAATGATTTTTGGTGTTTTTATTTCATCTTTTTTAACCTTTTAGTGAATGGGTACCCCTTACTCATTCACAAGGGGGCCCGCATCTGGGCAATCCTGGAAAAGCACCCTCCCAGTGCCGAGGGCATGTGGCCTGGTATCGCAGGGAGGGGGGGGTGCTCGCTTGTCCCCCCCCCCCCCTTCCTGCCCTGCCAGGCCTGTGCAGGCCTAAAGGGTCTGGTATTTTTTGGAAAGGGGAACCACACAAGTTTTTTCTTTTTTTCTTTTTAAATGTAATTTTTTCTTTACAAATGTCAGTTTTGCTGCAGCAGGTTCTATACATTGTACAAATTTGCCACTTTACAGGCAGGTTAAGGGGAGCCCCCAGGCACGATATTTAAAGGGATTTTTCATTTTTATGGTTACCCTTTAACCACTTGAAGACCGGGGTGTTTCACCCCCTTCCTGGCCAGGCCATTTTTCAGTATTCAGCGCTGCGGTACTTTGACTGACGTTTATTCATCATGCTCACAGTTTCCCCTCTCATGTGCGCGCTGAGTGCAGACTTCCTCCTAGCAGACTTCCGTCCGGCCGTTCACAAACGGCCATGGACGGAAGGTGGTTAAGTAATGTAAAAAATTACTGCTCCTCTAAAAACAGATCCAGGGCAGTACCCGGATCCCCATACCCTTTTAATGGCCATTAACTTGCATATAAGCCTTCAAAAAGGGGTCAATTGATTTTGAAAAGTTCTACCCCCATAGACTTGCATTGAGTTCGAGTTCGAATTTAAATTTTTCCCATGTTTGAAAGTGCGAATTCGAACCGGGGGGGGGGGGGGGAAACATATTTGC